CCAAGGTGAGCGGGAAGGTGGACTGGAAGATGCTGGATGAGGCTGTCTGCCAGGTCTTCAAGGTAGGAACATGAGGACCCTGATTCTGAGAGCCGTCCTTTTACGCAGCTCCACTATGCCTGATGCTCCTTGGCCCAGGTCCTTACTGGGGTCTCCTGCAGCTGCTGGGCACCACTTGCTCCCTGCCAGCCCTCAGGGGCACTGACAGCCCTGTCCTTGTCCTTGTCCTCGTAGGATTACATCACGAAAATGGATCCTGCTTCCACACTGGGGCTCAGCACCGAGTCTGTCTATGGCTACAGCATCAGCCACATCAAGCGGATTCTGGACACGGAGCCACCAGAGCTGCCGCTGTGCCGCCGGGGCCTGACCAGCATCGTCGTGACGCTCAAAGGTCAGTGTGGCAGAGAGGCTCCATCACTGTTCCATCTTCCGTCTGTCGTGGGGTGTTATGGGGCATGAGCATGACCCTTAGCCCTCCCTTGTCTGCAGGCTTGAAGGAGAAGTGCGTGGACAGCCTGGTGTTCGAGACGCTCATCCCCAAGCCCATGATGCAGCATTACATCAGCCTCCTGCGGAAGCCCCGGCGGCTCATCCTCTCGGGACCCAGCGGCACTGGCAAGACCTACCTGACCAACCGCTTGGCCGAGTACCTGGTGGAGCGCTCGGGACGTGACGTCACCGAGGGCATTGTCAGCACCTTCAACATGCACCAGCAGTCTTGCAAGGTGAGGGCGCACACAGCCAGGAGTGTCCCTGCTGGCACTGGTGCTACGGTCCCCGTTGACAGCCATGCCATGGCCCCACATGTCACACCCAGACTGTTTGTTGCAGGACCTGCAGCTGTACCTCTCCAACCTGGCCAACCAGATCGACCGGGAGACAGGCACAGCAGACGTGCCGCTGGTGATCCTCCTGGACGACCTCAGTGAGGCGGGCTCCATCAGCGAGCTCGTCAACGGCGCGCTCACCTGCAAGTACCACAAATGGTGAGAGCCCCACTGCACCCTCCTCTGGTGCAATCTCCCAGGCACACACACACTCTCCACTGCTCTTGGAAAGGTCCTTGGGCTTGTGGAGATGACCCTGCATGGCTGCGCATGTCTGCTGTGCTCCGATCAGCTCTGCCATGGACGGGGGTGATGCAGGGTGCTTTTTCTCATGAATCTTGTCTCTCTGTCACTCACTCAGCCCCTACATCATTGGGACCACCAACCAGCCTGTGAAGATGACCCCAAACCATGGCCTCCATCTCAGCTTCAGGTGGGAATCATGCATCGCTGGGAACCATCACCATGGGGCTGGGGGGGCGCAGAGGCCATCACTTCTGGCCCTGGGCAGTGCTGGGGACAAGTCCTGTGATTGGGAACCCTGATGAGGACCGAGCCCCAGTCCTGTCCCTGCCATCCCAGAAGGACCTGATACCCCTACTGTGGGCATGTGCAGTGTCGGGGTGCTAGGAGATCTCCTGAGGGTGCTGGGGAACAATGCAGCTTGGGTGGAGACCCAGCCCTGAATGCCCGAGTCTTTCTCCCAGGATGCTGACCTTCTCGAACAACGTGGAGCCAGCCAATGGCTTCCTGGTGCGCTACCTGCGGCGAAAGCTGCTGGAGTCGGACACAGATGTCAACGCCAACAAGGAGGAGCTGCTGCGTGTGCTGGACTGGGTGCCCAAGCTTTGGTACCACTTGCACACCTTCCTGGAGAAACACAGCACCTCCGACTTCCTCATCGGTACGGCCTTGCTGCAAACTTCCCTCCTCTACCTCGCACTGACAGGAGCCCCAGAAGCCCTCAGGGACTGGGGCAAAACCCTCCATGAGGAATTTGGGGAGTCGATGTGCTGTCCCATGTCCCCCAGCCCCACAGAACCAGAAGACAGTGTATGATGCACACAATTACTGCTCTTCCCTGGGTGGCATTTGTTCCCGTGCCCTGTGGGAGCGGTCACCATGGCATCAGGCAAGGCTGCCTGTCCTATTGGCGCCCTTCCTTGAGCACAGAGGAGTCGTGTTTTCCCAGGCAGGTCTCCCTTTGCCTCACCATGATTTTGGGGGATAGATTGAACATGGCAGCCCCATTCCTTGCCTGAGGGCTTGCTTTCTGCCCGTTTGTGTCAGGCAGATGTTGCCTGGGTGCTGCTCTCAGGAGGTGGTTGAGCCTAGGGCACCCTGTGCAGCCAGACTTGCCTGCCTTGGTGACGTGCTGCCATGGGGACCCAGCTCCCATTTTCACTCTCTACCTTCCCCTTGCAGGTCCCTGCTTCTTCCTGTCCTGCCCCATTGGAATTGAGGATTTCCGGACCTGGTTCATAGACCTGTGGAACAACTCCATCATCCCTTACCTGCAGGAGGGAGCAAAAGATGGGCTCAAGGTACCCAGAGCTGCCTGACACGTGGCGACACAAGCCAGTGGTGCTTGGGGACATGCTGATGCGGCACTCTAATGGGGTGGGGAGAAGGAAGGTGCTGGAATTTTGGGCACAGGTGGCATCTCTTGTCAGTCCCTGGCTTGCCCCATGGCTGCAGTGGGACAGCACTGTCCGGGGGCGCTCAGGGTGCCGTGTCGCCGGCTCTGGCACGTGCTGAGGAGGCGGCTGCCTCTCACTCCCTTCCTGCAGGTCCATGGACAGAAGGCAGCCTGGGAGGACCCCGTGGAGTGGGTGCGAGACACCCTGCCATGGCCATCAGCCCAGCAGGACCAGTCCAAGCTGTACCACCTGCCCCCACCCACCATCGGGCCCCACAGCACCGTTTCCCCTCCTGAGGAGCGCACCGTCAAAGACACGACGCCCAGCTCCCTGGACTCAGACCCTCTGGTATGGCCCTGCTGTGCTGGTGGAGGGGGAAAGAGCAGGGTGGAGCTGTGGTTTGCTTTCCAACTCGCTTTTCAGTGTAAAAACCCCTGACTTGGGGATGCAGAAACACTGTGCTCCTGGGAGGAGCATTGGGTGTGGGACAGTGGCGCAGGCAGGCAGGCTGCACACAGGCACACTGATGTGCCAGCAAATGGGCACAGCCTGGCTCTCCACGAGGCATCACGCAGGCACACGCAGACTGGGGCTTGCCATATGTGTCCTGGTGTGTCGCCCAGAGAGGCAGTTAGCAGACAGCAGGCTGCCACAGATGATGCCAACTGGGGCCTGTCCCTCCGCACTGCTTTGGCATGCTCGCCCTGAGCATCTCAGCTGTGCCCAAGGCCAGATCCTGTGGACGGGGAGGGATTTTGCAGCATCTCTGGGCTTTGCTTTACCCTCAGGAGCTTCTGAGCGTGGCTGGTTTGTATGGGAGGGCCAAGTGGCCTTGGGTTCCCCAGGGTATCTGCGGGCTGTCATCCCCTTCGGGTTTGGTGCCACGCTCCTCTCCCTGCAGATGGCCATGCTGCTGAAGCTCCAGGAAGCCGCCAACTACATCGAGTCTCCGGACCGCGAGACCATGGTGGATCCCGACCTGCAGTCGACTCTGTGAGGCCCGGACATGCCGGCCCAGGCGGAGGGGAGACGCTGCCAGCCACTGCTCCTGCCGGGCTGCTCTCCTTTTCCTTTGGTATCCCGGAGCGCGGGGCTGGCAAGCGAGCAGAGAGGACCGGGGCTCTGGCGCATCCCGGCAGAGTGTGGGGAAGCTCGGCTCGTCTGTGGGAGAGCGCGAGGTGCCGTCTCCCCTCCCAACCCTGGGGGTAGGAGAATCCTGGTTTCTCTTCTTGGGTTGTTTTTTGTTTGTTTTTTTTTTTTTTTTCCTGTCTCTATTGCAAACTCTCGGGCTTTGGGGCCAGGGCAACCGATGTGGCTGAGCTCCCGCTCCCGGGAGCTGCAGGAAGGCCCCTGCGTGGGGCAGGGACCCCGTGGGAGCCACCTGGGCCAAAGCTGGGGGGCATGGGAGGAGCGTGTGGCCACAGGACGAGAGCGCGGGTGCAAGGGTCTCCAGCTCATCTCTACCCAGCCAAGCGTAGCTGAGGGCAGGCGACGAGGGAGCTGCTGCTGTGGGAAGCGCCCACCTCGTGCTGGCTGAGGAGGAGTGCAGCTCTCACCCCTGTCTTTGTACATTCCCAGTTTTACCTGCATGGCAGCCACTGTGACCAGGACAGCCCAATAAACCCTGCTTTGGTTATTTTATTTTATTTCCCCCCTCCTATTTTCCTTTGGCCGAGTCCAGACTTTGCTTTGGTCCCTTTTTTGTTCTGATTCTTTCCTCGCCCAGCCTGGAGCCCATGGCCCGGTGCTCACTGCTTCCCTGCAAGCAGCTCCCTTTCCCTTTGGTTTCTTTTGCAGCTGTTGATTCCACCACTCAAACCACTTCCGTCACAAAACTGGTGCTCACTGGACAATCTCCAGTCCCTGAACCCACCTCCCAGGGCCTCACAGCTTGGCTGAGATGGGCCTTGGCAGCCGGTGGCAGGGGGATGCTCCCAGAGCAGCCCCTTGCCTGGTGGCTGCCCCCTCCCCAGAAGCACAAGGCAGAGCCTGGCCCTGGGGACGGGGTCTTCCACCAGGGCAGGATGCCACGGGACATCTCTCCAGACTACCCGGCGTGCGCATGGGGAGGTCACTGCTGCCCTGGGCAGCCGGGCGCCTGCCCTGTCCCCTCAGTGCTGGGGGGCACAACCTGCCCCACGTCCCCTCGCTGCTCTCTGGCCGAGGGGTGTGGGTAGGTGAGCTGTGCCTGGGGGTGGTCCCCATGACACTGGGTCCCCAAGGCCCTCTGCCTTCCCGCGCCCTGTGGCTGGGCAAGGTCTTGCTGTGCCCTGTGCTGGTGTTCTGGGGACACCTAGGGCTGCCACATGTCCTCTTGGCCCTACCCCGCGCTGTCACAGGCGAGGCTCCTGGCGTGGAGGGGTCAGCCCCGGTGCTGCCACGGTGCCTTAATCCCCACCGTGTGGGAAGGGGGCACGTGGGGCTCAGGCCAGTGCTGTCACAGCCTGCTCTAGCTGCAGTGTCCGGCTGGGCTGGGACGGGGGTGCTGGCCCAGCTGGGGCTGCTGCCTTCAGCACCTCTCGTCCATCTCCGAGCACGACGTGGGGGTGCTCTGCTGGGCCAACACCGCCCTCCCTGAGCCTGGCTGGGCTCTGGGTCCTGCTGCTGCCTTCTGCCTCAGCTCCCGTGCTCAGCCGGGGCCCTGGAGAGCCTTTTGGGGAGGGGTGACCCCAGAGCCGGGTCTGCCGAGCCTGTCCTTTCCCCAGCCCCACCAGACTGGGGACGGGGCAGCCTCAGCCTGTCTGTGCTGCGGCTGGGGGGGCTCTCAGGGAGACCGCACCAACCT